TTACAGTCCTATCACTCTCATCAGTATGTGGCCGGAGCAATATGAGTGAGTATGCAGAACCCCTTTATCTGGACAGCCTCATTTGCCAGTTGTTTTCTTTTAACTCAGTTGCAGCTAATCTGATGTCCCTGAACTATAGGGCATGGCTGACCCAAAGCAATAACGCCCTTGGGAATACTGAGCATGTATTTATTTGTCATCAGTCGAACTTGATTTAAAAATAATGTTGTCTATATAATTAATTGCTTTAGACATCACTGATTTTTTTATTATTATTTTTAAACTAGTCCATCCCAGTCTCCACAGCTGTTTCATGATGACACACACTCCAGGATAGAACAGTATGCTACTAGGTAAGAGAGTCATGGTTTCTCACTAGTTCATTGCATTTTGTGGTTGATTTCTGCAGCTTTTAATGTACACTACTGGTTGGATATTATTAATTAAAAAGATATAATTCTCTGTACTTAGAAGTAAGTCAAATGTTTTTAAATCATTTGCTTCTTATTACAGTCATATTAAAAGTAAAATACGTGTTTTAAATCTATCATCTCTCAAACAGAATGGAAGCTGTTGCAAAATTGCATTATTTCTAAAAAGTGCCATTATTGGTTTCTTTCTTCATTTTTAACCTTTGAAATAAACTGAACTTGTTCTCTATATAGGTTTTCTCAGTAGGATATTAGATCCAAGGTTTTGTTTTCTTCTGTGATAGACTGATGCTCTGCATTACTGTTGGTTTTTAGCAGAGTAGGTTGTAATTACAGATGTTTTATGTTGTGGCTTTTGTGGGGCCAGCCTAGTCCTGTTGTGATAAAATGTCTGTTATGCTAAGTCCATCTCACTGTCTCTGAGTTTTGTTACCTCACTTCTGTACATTCAGAGCTGATGATCACAGAATCATTAAGGCACGAAAAGACCTCTAAAATCATCAAGCCCAGCCAGGAACTCAGCATGACTTTGTTCACCACTAAACCATGTCCCCAAGTGCTAACCCCCACATACCTTTTGAACACTGCTGGGGAAGGTGGTTCCAATTTTTCCTTGGGCAACCTATTCCAATACCAGACCTACTTTTCACAGAAAAAACTTTTGGCTGTATCTAACCTAAACCTCCCTTGGCACAACTCATTTTCTGGCCATTTCCTGTCATCTGGAGTTAATGATGATGGTGAAACATTTACCAGAGACACCCTCTCAAAAATAAGTACAATGGGAACTGTCTAGGTTTTTTTTAAGTGGTTTTATTCTTGTATCTGATCTCTATAACTCAAAAACAATTTCAACTTTTTCATTTCTTTGAATAAAAATTCAGAGTGCATGTTTAAATTAATAACATTTATGGGCACCTTAAAAATCTTCAGACTAGTTTTTAAATGCCTAGGATATGCTGCACTTGATCTTTTCAGCAAGAGAAAATAGGGCAGGAAATAAAGCTGAAGGGCTACCCACAGTCAGCCTATTATTTTTTTTGTCCCCCAACAGCAAATATTTTCATCCTTCATTAGTAGTATGGCACAATGACATACGAAGTCATTACAGAGCTTTTCAGTTATTTGAAACATCATTCATATGAAACACTCATCATTTCTTTGATTCTACAACTTAGGCCATATTGTGTTCAATTAAAACCCCTGAACCAGACAAATTAAATTTCTCTAGAGAGATGAAAGAATTTTCTGTCTATCTGTGTCTTTTTTTCAGCCTATGGTGCCACAATACTGTGGCTTTTTGTGCCCAGATGAAGCTCAAAATCTGGACTCTCATTAAGGGTTAGTGGAGATCCCAATAGCTGTTTTCGATCTCCTCCCCCTCACCTCTTACCAGTTCTGTTTAGGATGAGATTAGCTGAAGGTGGACTGTGCAGTACTGAACTATCATTCAGGATACAAACTTAAATCTGTACCTGTTGTGTGCCAGCACTGCTTAGCAAAATCGAAAACTTACTACTAATTGCCTCATAGCTATCTGTCTAAAACTAGTCAGGATTGTTTTTCTTCTAGTAATAAAATCTAGAAAAAGAAGACATAATCCTGTGTCTATCATATAATATTTATTGTGTCCTTTGTTGCATATACAATAGTAAATCTTTTAAATATTTTTTATTTTCCTGGTCTTTTCAGCTAAGCATCTTTAAAGAAATATTATCAGGGCTTCCCTAATAAGACACTGCCCAGCAGAAATGGTATATTAGGGCTTAAAGCCTTCTCTGTCACTGGTTGGAGAAGGTTCAGCTCCCACTTTTCTGTTTAAAAAATCCCCTGCCTGGAATCAGATACCATTTCCCTGTTCTGTTGTGCTCTGTCACCTCTGAGTTGCTTCTTAATTTCCTTCCTCAGCTTTCAGTTTTTATCCGATCTTGAAGGCTTCTTTGCGACTCTAGGGGTTCTTTCGCTGTCTCCTTTTGCTGTCTCCTCAATTAGGTCTATCTGCTCGTTCCATACAGTATCCCAAGCAAATCCTCATTAGTGTTGGAGATCCTAAATGTGACAATAATAATACAATCTACATTTGTGAGCTGGAATATCCGTTACTCTCTAAGGGATACAGGGCAGGCCCTTCTCTCTTAAAAGTAATGGGGGTTGTGTTATTTCCCTATATGACAAAGGGACTGTGAAGATGAATTTCTAAAATTACGTTTCATCAAAAGATTTAAAGATGCTGAGCTTAGCAGCTTTATAAATATGTTACTTGTAAGCATGTTGCTTACTGTGAACTAGATTTGTTCGAGATGTCCTAGAACAGAGATGATCTGATTTGTCCTGAGTCACTTCAGAGATTCTCTTCCCTTCAGGGAAGATGTTGGAGCACAATGTCCCAGCCCAGCCAAGGTGGAATAGACAATCAAGATGACATCCAGTGTGTGTGTGCCTTCATTTATTCTTCTTCTTCTACCTCAAGAATACTAACAAATATAGGGAAGGGCAAACTTGCTCCATTCTAAAATAAGTCACCAGAGTTCCCTGATCTTTAGGGCCTTGCATACTCCCTTCAAAAGGAAGTTTGAAGATGTCTATAGTAATACATAATGCACTTGCAAAAATATATATGAAATTAAGATAATTTATAGTAAAGTAAATAGCTGTATTTGGTGCAGTTGAATATATGCATAGAGTAGTAAGTGTTCCTAAATTTTTATGTCTGTCTCTTATGTACACAAGGTACATCTTTCCTGGAAACCTGAATAGATAGAAAATTTCTGCTTTGATTTTAAAGAACTGTGTGGCCTTGTATATACAGTCCAATAATCTGCTTCCAAAATGAGGAACTGTACGCAATGATTCCCTGTAATTATACTGCTTTTTATTCTTTTTCACAGGACTTGTCTGTCTACAGTGTAGTATTATTTGCCGAGCACAATTTCAGACATTGCATGTACTATATTTAAAAAGGATTCATCCTCTTTTGTTAGTCCAGCTTTAGAAAATTCAAAAAGAAAACCATCTGTGAAAACATCTCTTTAACTAATTTTGCCATGCAAGTTGTGGTGATGCTAATGATAATTATGATAGAAGGAGAAAATACACTTTTTTGTTGTTGTTTGGCAAGGTAGAATTAATTAATCATAGCACAAGTTTCATAGCATAAAAGTCCTCTGGATTATAGGTTTTCATCACAAAATCTAGGATTTTATTCTTAATCATGTATACAAAGATTGCCATACATGAGGTGTTTCTAAGTAGATTTTATTTTCCAACTGCTTCTGTTTAAATTGTGCAGCATGTTGTCTGAAAGTTGTGGTCTTTCCCTGCCTTTCAGGCTTGCACAGATGGAAAGGACCAATGGCTCCTTCCTCATGGACAGCAGCTCCACCACAGGAAGCGTGTAAGTAACTCTGGCTCACTATGGCTCTCAGGAACTTTGGTTATAGGTTCATACTAAAATCTTCAGCAGCTCTAATACAGGGATTAGTGCCAGTGAGAGCAGCTAATAAGTATGAGGCCAAGGATACCTCCGTAAGTTTAATTATTCCAGGAACCAGTTGTAAAACTTGATGATTTTCACTTGACGGTGTATGGGAACTCTGTGTTTGTCAGCCATTCTGCTTCAAAAGTGAGGATATTTCATGTGACTACTGTGTGTTCTACTTTGTATTCCTTTTCTGCTTTTATCATAGTATAAAAGAAAAAAAAAACTTTTCTAGGCTTTTGCTAGACCCTAGACAACTTCCTTATTAAAATAAAATATCATCTGTACTTTGAAGATTCTTCTGAGCGAGAACAGTGTTGCTGCTTCTTGTTTATATTTCAGTTTTCTGGCTGCTGATTCATCTGTTTGTACCTGGAATTATCCTGTGTAATAAACATAGTCCTACATTAATTTTACCAATTTTCTTCTTTTATTCAAATTATGTGTCACCTTTGTTGTAAAAACCAATTTAAATGCATTGGTTCTATGCTTGTAAAGCATAGAACCCCTTGAATTGCTGATGGATTTTTTTTTTTTTTAATGTAGAAACAAATGTTTTAACCTCACTTTATCATCAGTTCAGTTAATTAAATCAGCATTGTAGGACTCTCGGACTCTCCCTCTTCTAAGTTATTGACAAATACCATCAGCATTTTTAAAGTGGAAAACTGAAATGGTCTTGTTCAGCTTTAGTTAAAAAATACTGTGGGTCTCAGTAATACTTTCATTTACTGCTTTAAAATTTAATTATGAAATTATTCTATCTATAGATAGGTAGTACACTAGTAGTGTACTAACAATTTGAGATTTAAAATACTTTGCTTGAAAGAAGCACATGTGACCCCCTTTAAACGTTGCCTCTTTCCTGATTAATTAACTCTATTTACATACTAAATAAAAATTTTTCATGCAAACTGTTTTAATGTGTTTCTGTCATTGGCACACACCAGTGAGAGAAATGCAGCCAAAATATTCCCTTTTGATTTCCCTTCCACAAAAGAAGAAGAGCAAACATACTGTCATTTGGCAGGAGAGCTGCAAACTTGAAGGCTGCTAAATGCTCAAACACTTGAGTTGTGTTAATTTGAAATTAATGAGCCTACTCATATACAAAGACAAAACAACCATCCATCCCAATGGTGAAAGGCAGGGTGTATGCTTGATTTTTACTGGCAAATCAGCTGTTGATTTTAAAGCAATTTCCCTGAATTCCTTTTCCTTAGAAAAATAATCAAGATCAAAAGCTTGTGTACCAATGAGTGAGAGGTACCTCTGAGTTTAGGTCTCAGTCAAGGGACTGTTACACAAACAAAATATGGGCAAGAAAGTAACCTTGTACACACTGGCACCTTCTGTTTTATTTGCAGATTACAATGCATGCTCTCATTAAGGCATAAGTACTGAAGTACTCAAAATTCTGAAGGCCTGTGGTTTAAACTATATTCATAGAATCATTGAGGTTGGAAAAGACCTTTAAGGTCATTAATTCAACTGTCCAAGTCCACCACTAAACCATGTTCCCATGTGCCAAATCTAAGTCTCCTAAATGCCTCCAGTGATGGTGAGGCATCATCACTGCCCTGGGCTGCCTGTTGCAGTGCTTGACAGCCCTTCGTGATGGAGAGGTTTTTCCAAGGAACTGCAGAGCTGTGAAGTTTGTATCCCAGTTTGATCACAAATCGCTGAAATGCTGGGAGTTTAGGATTATAGTTCAAACCTATTCTTATTGTTTAAATTCCATTTAACATAGAAATAGGGATGGTGTAACCATTCTTATATGGATAGAATTCAAAGGAGCAATTTGAAATGTGAATACATGGTTTTTCAGTGTAGATGTAGAGCTCTTTTTTTTTAATACAGTATTATTTCAAATATTCAGGAAACAATTACTAGTTTGGAAATCAAATTCTTTATTTCTCATAATTGGATTTCTGCTTCATTATCTTATTTTTATTGGTCCTGAAGAGTCCTTCAGTTTACTGTGAATATAGAACAGAGGCAGTGTAGCACTTGATTTTGAAAGTTACTTCTTTGGTCTTGTCAAGTTCACAATACTTTTAACATTCTTCATGCTTCAGAGATTATGTAAGAAGTCATCTACATTTGAATAAGAGAACTTCTACTCTTAGTTAAACGTAATGAGTTTATTTTCAGGAATGTTTTGAAATATGCCATTTGATTAAGAAAGCTCTCATCAAAGATAATTCTTGGGTTTTAACTAGACTGTTTTCTTGAATGTCCTTGTGACTTTTATCTCTCTGACTAAGCTTTTATAACACTCCACTTTTCAAAAGATATGTGAATGCCATTAAAAAATGCATTTTCCTTAATCAGAAAAATAATTGTAGATAGCAAAAAAAAAAAAAAGAAGGCACAGTCTCTACTGTAGTATGTCCAGCTTCTTTTAAAATATTCTAATACTCTCATGCATGAATTTTCTGCTACAAATACACTTAATAGAAATGTTTTCCCTTCATGTCATCTTCTGCTGACATTAGATAGTTCTAAATGTTTAGACTAGAATGTTGTGATGAATTTTATTTGGCTTTAACTTATGCAAAAGCATCTCTATCTTTAAATCAGACTTACCTATTCACAAACTAAAATGAGCATAAGGAAAAAAATAAGTCTTTATAACAAAGAATGATAAATAGTGTTCCTAACAGAAAGCTATGCCTCACAATTTGATAAATCATGGTGTAGTAGAATGAAAATAAAAATTGTTAGAGTAGTCCTGTAAGGTATGAACTATCCTAACCAGTGCATACTGAAGTGAATTGCAGTGGGCATAGTTTAAATACTTTCAGAATAAATGTAGATGCTTAATAGCTATTTTCTGATTCATGCCTTTACTACCAGTTACCTTTATGTCTTGGGCATTGTTGATGCTATTTCACACTCATCTTAAGGCAGTGTTGAAGCATACTGGGAATTTTATTTGTTATGGAACTCTGCACTCAGGTTCAGAAGTAGGAACAGGTTCAGAAGTGAATGTCATTTATACTTTTACCTGGCACTGCTACTTAATGTGGTGTAAGTCAAACTGGAGCCCCAGTATGTAGTAACTGAATACTGTGACATGATATAAGGGGTTAAAAAGTATCTTGTCACAGGGAGGCCTTTGTTTCACGGCATGGTAAAATTAGGAGACCAAGTAAATTAGATAAAGAACTTTTGAGTACCTTTTGCATCCTTATTCTAGTATGTCTCATAGCATCAGTAGGTCAAGGTACACTTTATTTGGACTAGAACACATGGTGTTTAGTATAAGATCTACAGCAAAAATTAAAATTGTCAATGAAGTAAGTTCACAAATAGCCACATCTTCCTATCTTAAATCAAATTTAGCAGTTTACTTAATCAGATAAAATAATGCACTGATGAAAAGTGACAGTGAAAAAATCTATATTTCTTTCTACAGCATAGTCAAATAAATGTGAGGTTATATGCAGCTTTATTTGCCTCTTGCTTCCTTTATGCACAATGCTTGTTTTGGAATAGACATTTTGAAAACATATGTCCACAAAGAGAATATGGCCCTTCAAAGGCTGTTTTCCTTGGACTTCTTTGTTGGGGTGTTCTTTTTCTCTGAGATGTACTTCTTTCAAGTCTGACCTTCTGGGATGTCTTATTTGCTACTTTTTACTGTGGTGAAATTCAGAATAGGAACTGCAGCCTCTGCTGTCAGAGGACTTTGTGTACTTCTAGTTGTTCCTCAAAGCACACAGGGTATTCAATAAAATAACCACCAAGAAAGAATGAGCAATTAAATTTTACATGATGCTTTTATTTTGATTGCTGATCACCATCTCCTACCACTTCTACAGAATAATGCCCCAGATTCTCAAAATGAAAGGATGTGCCTTGTGTAGAACAATGACCTTATGTTGTAGGTCATTTGAAGCCCTGTCCTGGGACTCCTGTGCTACTAATGAATCTATCCTAATTGCAGTCATGAAGTTTGTTGGTGCAGGTTGAAGGCTGTGTTTTTTCAGCCTAGTAATTTTGCAAGACAGAGTAAAGCTAGAACACACGGTAAAAATACAGTTTTGCTTCAGAAGACTTCCTTTATCAAGTGCCTGTGAGAAAAGCGTGCTGTCAGCTGCAACGTGTGATGCTTAATAAAAGAGCAATCAATATTCACAGCCTCTCCAGTAGGCTTTCTGAGGCTCTGAACCAGTGGGAGAGAAGGGAAATGAAGTTTTTTCTAGATTGAATAACTTTGAGACCAAAATATAAAATGACCTGTATTTGGCTGTGTTGATCTTGTCTACTGGATCACAATACAGTCAGAAGTATGTAAACATTTACTATGTAAAGTCTTCTTTTAAAGCCTTTATATATTTCATTAAAAATTGAGGTTACACCTAATGCAAAATCTTGACAGATTCTCAGGTTTAACAAATTCCAATAAATGTAATAAATCCAGCTTTACAGAGGCTTAATTTAAAAAAGATCCAGTTTAGGTGTCCTAAATTTTGTTTATAAACTATTTCACTATTTCAAAACATAGACAGCAGCTTTTCGATGCCTAATAAAAATAACCAGACTAAACTAGATCGAGTGAACATTTCCTGACATCATCAACACCCTTGCAGAAAAGAAGGCTGTATGTGTAGTCACACAGGATCACTGAAATTCATGTGTAAACAGTGTTTTGAAGCCGGGTGATAAAACTGTGTTCTCTCACCTGCCTGCTTTAACTCTGTTTTTGTGCTCACCCATGGTGTGACATTGAATTGCCGTCACTCTTGGCTCATTGTGGCCATTTCAGTCACAGGGTACTCTGAACATTTTGTTTGAAGCTCCCAGAGGGGTTACAGCACTTCGGCAAAAATTTTGTTAAAAGGGGTAGGGTATTTTTGTCAGGATGACTAAAGGGTATAGAAGTACAATGAGGTTTTAATTATTGTACTGGGACCTGATCCAAACTCCATTAACTGCACTACGCTTTGTTTTAATTTTAAGTAGACATGAAGTAATAATGAAAAACAATAGTGATTATGAATTTCTCTATGATCACTCAAGTACTGAAGAAGATAAAGCAGTTAAAGGCTTTTGTGTTTGGTTGGGGTTTTTTTGTAGATAATGGGTCAAAGGAACACTTACCTGTTTCTTTCTGTTTCTTTTTCTAGCACTCTTGGATGTCACTATTTTTTTAAAGGACTTAAATGCACATGCAACCCCAGTTACATTTAACTCTCTATATATTTGGATTAATGAAAAATTCATTATATTTTTTCATTTGCAGGGAAGATCCATGTTGTCATTTTTCTCATGAATGTAGTACTGACAACAGCTAAGACACCTATGAAATAAGCGAATGTACATTATTTCTTTAAACTTTCTACTCATTTTTAAAAGCAAAACTCAATAATTAGGTTTTTCATCCAATGGACAGAACTGTCATAGGCTATATTTTTTCTTGTTTGGATATTTTTCAGCAGGCACAGCATTACTTGATGTACATTTATTTGATGTCTAAATTTTTAAGTCTTGATGACCAGTTAGAAAGTGGAAGTCCACATGATAGCTTTGGGTAGATAGTGAATAGTTATCCTTGAGAATAAATTATTTGGTGCTGTTCTACCATGAGATTAGTCTTCAGTACAAATTATGTCTTAGGCAGTACTACAAAGAACAAATAATTTTGCTAAGTGATAGAAGTACTTTTCCAAGAAAGCCACACCACGAATCAGGATTTATTAAATCTTTGGCTATTTTGTCTTGTTCTTAATACTGATGATGCTATTAAATTAGAATTGATATACTGTGCTAACAGTAGTTTAACAGTATAAAGTAAGGTTTTTCATTTCACAAACAGTATTTATTCAACTGTCGTCTGTTCCTGTCATGACAATTTTCTCCTTTTGTCCCAAGAGTTTGAACTTATTTCTGAAGTACACCCCAATCTATATGCATGTCCCATAAGACACTTAATGAGTTTCACTTGTACATGCATTTATTTATAGCCTATTTATCACCACAGAAGTAACTGCTTTTTCTTCCAGGATATACTTTTCTAAATAACTGGTTTTAGTATTCATTCAAATGAGACAGTACATTTAGAAATTCTGTGATGAAAGATGTTAAAGTGACTGACAGGAAATTTTTTAGCACCTCTTGAAAATCTCCATTAAGCTTTTATTTGGAAAATAAATACTTTGCATATAATGAACTTCGAATTTTTTGCATGTGCTTTCAAAGGCAGTCCTTGAGAATATTTTTCATTCCATAACCGGTGGATAGCAGAATTTGCAGCTGTTACTTTCTAGCAATAGAAGGAAAAAAGCACACAAAATATTTTTAATGTGGAAAAGTCTCCTTTCTAAATAATATCTTAATATGTGTGTATATACTGCCCATGTATGTGTCCCTCTGTTCTGCCCATGCTTTTGACTGTAAGAGATCCTTAGGGTAAAGGTTGTACCAATAATTCATGGCATCATAAGGTGTGCAGTATCTAGTTTTTAGTTAATTAAAGGAAATAATTTAAGGAGGATTTTCTTCATCATTTTTACTGCTGCAGTAATTTGTCTCTTAAAAATGAGTACTATATGTTTTTCCGTTGTTGGTTCATCGTTCTTGAGTGACCAAGCAAGTAAACTGGTTTTAGGATATGGTATCTTTTACTTTCTATACCTCTGACTTTATTTATGGAGAAAAGCCAGCAACTTGGAAAGTAAGGCACATCTATACAAGACGAAATTCACTTGAGTATTAAAGCATAATTGAAAGTGTCAGGACTTTTCTATCTCCTTACCAGAAGGTAATTTCATGTGAGTCAGGAGGAGGACAGTGCTATAGTTCATTTCTGTTCCTGAATCTCTAAGAAGGAAACCTACTACCAATGCAGAATTTCAAGGTCTTTTATGTGTATATCAAAATAGGGGGAGAAAACTGGAATCTTTTTTCTTTAATTTTAATGGAACTTTTTGTTCTCTAATCTTATTAGATAAATTGAGCAAACCAAAATTATCTCCTAAAAATTTGGAAAATGTCACATATTGTTAAAAAATGTGTCTAGAAGATGTTTGTTTATTTTATTTATTTTTAAGGCATTTCATACAGTCATCTTTGATTACTGATTCTTGTTTTCACTGTTTCTTTTCAAGCCACTGATTCTTGTTTTCAGTCTTTCTTTTCAAACCACTAGCAACATTTGTTCTTTATGCACAGATTAAACTAAACTGATCCTTTACTACAGATGAATCTTTTTTCCCTGTGTATTGTATGTTTATATGGTTTCCTTTCAGTATGTTTTCCAGGCTTAATTTTGTCTCGCTTAGTCTTTTTCCATAAACAAAATCCCTCAGCTTGATAGAGATGTTTGCTCACATAATAAATGTTTTACTACTCTGTCTTTATCTGTTTTGTTTTATTGTTCCAGAGAGGATGAGCATGCCCTTATCCAGCAGTACTGTCAGACGCTGGGAGGAGAGTCACCTGTGAGTCAGCCACAGAGTCCTGCTCAGATACTCAAGTCAGTGGAGAAGGAAGAGCGGGGAGAGTTGGAGCGTATCATTGCTGACCTTGAGGAAGAGCAAAGGTCTCATAATCATCCCACTGGTGTCTTATTTGTCATTTTGTTGTTGTTTGAGCCATGCCTGTACTATGTTGAAGATGAGAAGGACCTAGAAGTAATGATTTTAGCAAAAAAATAGAAAACAACCCACAATCAAGGCATTTGTTGTGCATAGGTTGGCACTGTTAGATAGAAGAGGGAGGTGTCTGTGAAGAAATAAATTAGTTTGACTTTTACTTCACTGCCTTTTATTCAATCCCCTGTAAAACACAAGTCAAGACATTGAGCTATTTGTGGTGTTAGTTGTTTAATCTAAGAAGTGTTTTATTTTCATTTACTTGATCAAGTCATCATTCTCCTCCACTTTTCAATATCCCAGGAGTCTGCAGATAGAATATGAGCAACTAAAGGAGCAACATCTTCGGAGAGGAATAAACCCTCTTGCGTCACCTCCTGACTCTATTGTGTCACCTCAGCATGCTTCTGAAGATGCCGAGCTCATTGCTGAAGCTAAACTCCTGAGGCAGCATAAAGGTCGCCTGGAAGCAAGGATGCAAATATTGGAAGATCACAATAAACAATTGGAGTCTCAGCTTCACAGGCTACGGCAGCTGCTCGAGCAGGTACTTGTACACTTTACCCCATATTGCTCCTAGACAATGGATTTCTTCGTGGAGAAAAGGCATTGACATTTTACTGCGGATATTTTCACCATGTACTCTTGGTCTGCTGGAATCAGTCATTTCTAATGAGATATTTTTTCTTACCATCTAGTATAAACCATGGTTAATATCAAATGAGCAGAACATGATTGCAAGTGCTGGAGTGATCATGGGAACTTAGGAAACACTGAGAATCAGACAAGGAAGAGCAATAGCTTTTCATTCATTAAAAATCATGGAAAGAGAATATATATCCTACTCCAAGTAATGATGCCAGCTACATCCCATGTCTGACTTCTTTTACCAGATGCTTTCCTTAAATATATAAATGTTCATTTGTTGTCACTGTAAGTCATTCAGACCTCTCTTAGCATGCCAGAGACAAATGGCCAAAGATACGTCTGAAATACAAAGGAGCAATTAATTACATTAAAAATCCAGTTCCTCTTGAGTGGCACATTTAGACCAATGACCTACAGCAAGGTGGTCTTTCACACAAGTAAATGCTGGAGCTAAGAGATTTTATTGAGTGCTAGTAGCTGGAGATCGTAGGGTTTCCTTGCTGGCAAAAGGAGCGCTGATTGATTTGGGAGTCAGCATGTGTACACCTGGCTTATAAAAATAACAGGAGCAACATATACCATAACACCATAATAGCAGGAGCAACATAGGTGTTGTTAGAGATGGTAGTTTGTACTATATCATATGTGGAAGCTTGAGTAATGAAGATAAATTTGTATTGTCGCCACAGGCCTCCAGCCGGGTAATAATTAGCATTGACTCCATGATTCTAGCAGGCTGATCAATCACTTTATTACACTATACTTATTAAGAAACCCATCCCCCTTACAGACAGTCTGATACCTAATTGGTCAATCAATCCAAACACCATCACCATTGACCAATTAAGAAATTACCCTTTGGTAAACAAACCTCCATGACACATTCCACATGTTCACAACAACAGATGCAGCAAGTGAAGATAAGAATTGTTCCTCATTCTTTTCTCTGATCTTCTTACAGCCTTCCCCAGGGCAATGCCTAGGAAAGTTGTGCATTGCTCTCTGTGGCCAGAGAGCTGCTGCCACATTGCATTAATGTTTTCTTCTAATTAATCATTATGTTTGGGTCAGAGTACAGTAAGGCAAGTATTTCCTGCCTTCCATGAGTCAGGTGTAGTAGGGGATTTAACTAAGCCAAGAAACTGGCTACGTAAAAATGGCCTAAGTTCCTGTTGTAGATCATACTCTCATTACAGGGATTAAGGTATTTTCTCTTTGTTTCACTTGCTGACTTTGTAATTTTTTCTAGGCTCAATAGGATTTAGATGCATCTGTTCCAATGACTTCCCTACCCCTCTAAAAATCTAGAGTAAATTTTTTTGTTGCTACTGTTATTTTCGTATTTTAATCAATATTAGAGTAATTGTAATATTTCATAGGGAAGGTAGAAACTGGTGCACTGTTATTGATAATTTATAAAGTAATGATTTTGGGATAGGTAGCCAATATGGTCTTTCTAGAGAAGGGTTTAAAATCTGCAAATAAACATTGTTAGTAGAACACAGATGTTCTGCCAAACCCACGGTCCCTTGCAGCTTAGTGCTCAGAGCAGAAACTTGGTCACTCCTTAAAACCCCTTTTTTTTTCCCCTAATGTAGCTGAGGATGAGCTCACAATTTTGTAATATTTTTGGATATCTTATACCATTCTTAGTAACACCTTTAGGGTATACGTTTTTATTGTGATAAAATGGATGGGAGAAGAGACAGTAATTTTTTGTTATAATTTCTGCCTTGGGAATTTTCCAGGTATTCTGCAGCTTTTCGGTTCAGATAGGGTAAAGCAGAATAGAAGTGACATTTTTCAATATTTCTGACTGTTTACAACTTATTTACTGTGTACTGTTGCTCTTCTGCTTTCTGTCCACATTGTCCTGTCTCTATGGGAGTCATGCCATTCTTCTAATTGTTCCAAATATTATTTCCTAAGCTCTTTGTTTCTACTCTGTTATTTAATAAAGTGGCTCATACAGAGTCAAGTATATGAGAAGATCTACATTACTTCTTTTATAACACATCTGTGGCTTTTCAGTATGCCTTTCTATACATAATATTATTTAATTTACCAGATGTTTCACAAGCTACTTTGAGAATGTTGAGGTTACTCCCCTGATGGGGATTCATAAATTATAAAGAATTTAAATTTTTAGTACTGTTCTTTGAAATTTATTTTGACATTGATAGAATTATGAAGCAGCGCTGATTTCCATTACTGCCCTCTTTCTGAAAAAAAATGACCACACTTCAGCATGTTTTTTGTTTTGTCAGCTTGGCCACTACCATTTAGGACAGCCTTTATCTCTTTCACTGCTTGGGGAAGGACTTTATTGGAAGCCTATTTATATTTATTTGTTTCTTTTGCTTTTACTGCCTGTTCCAGTTATTTTTAGGGGGTAAAAGGAATACCTTTTCTTATTAATGAGATGGATGATTTACTCATAAGTCTCAATCTCAAAATATATAACAATATAATTACTAGCATGAAAGGACACAACTGTCCTTCAGCAATATCTTTGCCATGGCTGGCATTTCATGCTGTTTGTCTATTCTATCAACAGCAAGTCTCCCCATTCCTCTTCTCCATTAGCCTCCTGACTGGTGTTTTATACTACTGAGTATAAAATACTGGAGCTTTTTTTTTCTCTAAAAGATTGGTGTGAGTCTGTCTACACACAGATATTGAGGTAGAGAGTTAATGAAATTTAGAATCTTTCATGTAGTAACTGCTTAATCTAGATGAAAGCATTCTAGGACATTCTGTAGAGAGCACCTTTAGCAGAAATATGCATGCATCCTCACTGCTCATTTGTCTACTTCAGGTCACAATTCTGAGGTTACCATACTATTTTTATTTTAGCAAGCCCAAAGGATTGGTAGCTGTCACAGAATGTCGTCATTTTTGTCTGCCTGATTGATTAGGCTGCCAAAGAGGAAGGTGAAACAGAACTGGCATGTGACAGCTTTGATACCAACATGTTAATCAGACAGAGAAAAAAACAAAGAAGCCATTCTCATTTTTCTTTTTTTCAACCTTTATAGATACTGAATTTGGAAAGTCAAAGTGAGACCTATTATGAAGGGCATTTAAAGTCTGGATTTTTCTCTGTTTTCTCTGAGCTGCTCAATAGAGGTTTCATATTGTATTTGATATTGAAGTTAGAGGGAGCTAAAATCATCTGTCAACAGCTGTATGATCAGGCAGAGAGTAAATAGAGGCTGCAACTCCCTCTCCAGCTGAAAGCAGAAGAGCACAGGAGTTTGTTTCTTTCATAGCTGGGAGAAAAAAATTTGGAGCAAGAAGAGAAATCTGTAATGAATGTGGTAGTAACATTGCCATTTTTGAGGTTTCTTGTGATTCAGACTGGGGATACTGAGGTTTAGTTTGGTTTTTACAAAAAGCAGCAGAAGTCAAGGAAAGACCAGGTATGTCTTAGCTGTCCATTAAGCCATAGAGCACTTCAGGCTCTTCTTTGGGAAAGACACCAGCAGGAGGCATAGTGAAATAAGGCACTAAAAGTTAAAACTGGTAGAAATAAGTATCTCCTTTGAAATGGTTTTAAAACTGCTGTAATACAGAAACAAAACCACAATTTTATAATTTCCTGGAGAAGGAATATTTTTCTCTTCATATTTTTGTTTGGTTTTACCTAAAAAGAAGTTTGAAAACTTCCTGAGACTGTAGTTGAAAATGTCTCCCTTATCCCTATAGAGGCATGCTCAGTATCTCTGCTTTTATTTCTTTCAAGAAGCAGCAGGTGTATAATAACATCTAGAGCTATTTGCTTTTGGTTTCTGGCTTAAGGGCTGTCTGCTGAGTTCTTTTGAATAAGAATGCATGAACTTCATGTGGGTTAGGATGGAAGCGCTCATATTTTGTAGGTGTTATATAATTGGAGTTAAATAGAATGTGATTTTCTACTGTTATTTTTCTTAAGTTCTCCAACAATTAAATTGTTAAATCATGTAAATACAAGCCATTATATCTATATCCTCAACTGGTTTGCATTTAACAGTTTCCAGTATCAGATTATTACATCAAGGCAATTATATCACTACCACAAACCTTCACTTTCTGCTCCAAACCCCACTCTTCAGCTGCTTATCATATTTCCTTAATTTGGAAGAAGAGTTTTTTTTGTTTAGGCTTTTCTTCTTATTGCAGTCACTGGAACTATGCACTGGAACTATATCAGTATGTTTAAATGAAAATGAAGTAATCAGGCATTGCCATCTGATGAGATGAAAGTGTTGTGAGTTTTGACTGTTTTTAAATCCAGCTGCAATATTTCATTCTGACTGCTGTAGCAACATCTGGTACATAAATGTCAGATTTTCCTTACCATTAAGGTTTTCCAAAGTATGTTTTGTTTTCTCTCAGTGTATCCACTGACAATCCTTGTCTGTAGTACTCTTTTATCACTTACAATAGAGCTACTAAGTGGTACCTTGACTAACTCATCACCTGAGTTTGTAGGCATTTAGTTTCTGTCTATCAACATGAACTGTTGACTTTGCAGTGCCTCACTATCCTTGATTGAGCCTATGTGTTGCTGTGCTGCAGTTTTGTGTGTCCAGCACAGATCTTCTCATTCACCCCCATTCACCTGTGCACAATTTATTCATAGTTGCTGCTTGAACAGGGCCAGAGGCAGAGATTTACTCCAGGTGCAAGTTTGCATTTTGGATGATTCACAATCTCTCTGTTCATCTGTTTGTGGGGTGGGCAAGCAGTTACTCCACTGCTGGAGTTAGATTTATTTTTCTGTATAGAAGGGACTCTTCACCTGTGACAAATTTGCTTCCTCTCTTTACCATTACAGCTCTAACATTTCAGACAGTAGCTCCTGGCAATACAGAATTGCCTGGGTTAAGTTATCCCAGGCTTCTCTGATTTAAAATCACCATACTCATTTTACTTGGACTCTTTAGCTGGATTGAAGCCTGGTACTGAGCAGCAAATTACTTAACTACCTAATAGTAATTCACTGTGCACAGAAGTGCCTTGACAGTGAAATCCTTCTCTGGGTTGAAAACATTTCCATTTTTCTTTGTCTTCTATGCAGACTGAAATTTCTTGATTTATTCTTTTAGTTAAAGCTGGCCTTTAGTATTGTCATGCTGAAAGAGATAAGATTTAGAGGAGTTTTACTGAAGACTGTTTTTGTTAGGTTGGAAGGTATTTCAAGAAATTGAGTATTTCAGTTAAGGCTGTGAAGTGCCAAGGAGCAAACTTGTGCACAAATGAACAGCCATTCTGTATTCTAACTCTGTATCAAGTCTCATAGGTACTTGTTCTAGGTACTTGCTCAGTTTCAAAAAGATCTTAAAAGCAATCATCTTTTGTATTACTTCAGTATCTGCTTTTGATAGATTTACTTAAATAACCTGCTCCTTAAGATGTTCAGAAGTAATCTCATTATTTGCAATCAAAAAGATAAGTGATAAGCAACAATTTCAGCTTAATCTATCTCAGATGTAAATATTATTTCACTTTTTATGTTTTTTTCAGAACAATCATTTCTGGAGCTCAAATACTTTATTAACAGTACTATTCCTGAAGGAATTTTTAAAATAAGAAAGGAAGGAAATGAAGGGGAAAATGAGGTCCCTTCCAATATTCCTGAGCTGCTATGGCCTTTTCTTATTTTCTGTCCATGTTTAAATGTAACTTCAAATACACACATGTTTACAGCTAAATGTAATATCAATTTCCATGATTCTTCAAGTGAATTTAAGAGGTCAGAAAAGCTTCTTTTCAAAGTATATAAGCTATTGCTCATAATTTTCAAGAGTTCATGTAGTACAAAATCCTGCAAGTTTGGTGTCTTCCACAAGGCTGAGAAGCAGCATCAGTAGGAGTGATGGCTGGCTACCACTTTTTAGATTTAATGAAGTTGTTTTGAATCTGTCTTTATTTGATTCTGGAGTTCTGCAAATCTGTTCATGATTGAACAGCTGTTTCTAAGCATGCTTAGTCATCCTTGTAAAGCTTTTTATGGGCCCCTTGCTGAATGTCCTGTTTGTGTGTGTATATACCTATGCAGATAAATATAATCCAAGTGTTCCCATTGTGTAGTCTTTCTGCAGAGCTGGACTGGGAACCTTGGCATACTGTGTGTGTGTTGCACATTATGTTGTGGTTTTGTGATGCAACAGAACATTGTTTTTAACAAGACCATCAACTGGAGTCTTGTAGAAGGTGTTCTTAGTCTAAATTTTCTTTCAACAAGTTCTTGGATTGGTTGTTTTTTTACCCCTCACCAGTTGTATAGATCTAAGACAACTTTCAATAGTTTGGAGAAAAAAACAAGAAAGATCATGTAAAAAGGAAAGGAGTAACATGGCTGTATACAAGCTTACAGTTAAATTATGTGGCTACAAGTAACAGAGATTTGTGTCTTCTTGTCTTTACCATAGCCTGAGTCAGACTCCCGGGTCAATGGCGCCTCCCCCTGTGCTTCGCCCCAGCGCTCTGCCCTGGCCTTCCCGCTGGAGCAGGACACAAGCTCACAGTTCCATCAGACAGGTGAGTGCTCTGATCAGATAATGTACTGATGAGGCCAGAGGTGACTGCTGGATAGGTTTGTTGGCACCTTCTGGACAGATTTGTAAATCAAAAGGAGCGGATCTTTGCGGTGCTTCTGCTCAGGGCAGCTGGAGGTGTTGCTTCCTCATACTTGTGAAGAGCTGCAGTATCCTAAGAATCCATGTGACTCTGAATTACAGACTTTTGTCGATAGACTCTTTGGTTCCAGCTGTTCTTACTAAGTGAATTTACTGGGAAAATCCATCTTTGCTGAAAGGGGAACCAGACTTCACTGGACCGAAGTGGCCGTGAGCTGTTTGTCCTAAAGTACACACACAGACCCAAGTGATCTGTCAGATGCAAGACCAATGTCCAAATTATGTAATCTACACTTGCTGTCTGCTTTAAAAATTCTTGTGTAATCTCTGCTTATCCTGGTATTTTGATGTTCCCACTCCCAAAAGGCTCACATCTTTAGGAATAATTCAATATTTATGGGTACAGGCTCTGCACATAAAGGGATTTTAAATTCTCCAGTATCAGAACTCATTAATTTCACCGTGAGTTAGCAGAAATAACTACAGACCATTGCATAGACAAAAGTAGGGGAAAAGAGAAAATATTTTCCTCACATTATCTTTTCTAGAAGTTCCTCCTGTTTCTGTGTTTGAGCTTTGTATTATAGATTAAATATTACTTTGTTTCTGTAGAAAACAGGAAAAATATTCTCTTGCATACTGAACATTTTTCATTCAGCATTAACGTATGTTTTTACTTTATCTGGAAAAACATGGAACTTGAGTCTGATTTCATGCAGTATGAAAGATGCTGTCCAATAAAACTGCCAACAACACAGCCAGTTATGTTCCCTAACCATTCTCTTGGCTAATTTTAAGCAACATTTTTCAAAGAGTTGGCAAGGGGGATTTTAGCACTACTGAAATGGCTGGTACATATTGAATAAAGACCATCTAAAAGATAAATGTTGGGATTTTTTTCAGAGAAAATGTGGTGTATTCACTCTGAAAGTTACATGACAAATCATCTGCAATTGGAACAGAATTTTAATAGAGTAGCTACTGAGTTTAATTCCCTCACATTGTAATTTTATTCATTTTAACTGTAAATGTTTATATACTGTTCCTTGCTGGCAACTTCTAGTTAAATCCTGGATGCAATGGTTAAGTTTTAATGAAAGAGAAATGAGTTTGACTGCAAATCAATAATGTAACTTTCATGTCCTCTCCCAAGGCTGGCAATTATCGATGATAGTTCCCGCACATTACAAAGGTTTCAGGTACTGTTTTCCTTTGAAATATAAAGGAGTAATTAACTGGAATATTGGCTAAGAATGCCTTTTAGAATGTTGTTGTCTTTTTTTTTTTTTTTTCCTCATCTTGTTACAAAAATGATTTTTGGTTGTTTTATCTGCAGATGACTTGTTAGTTCCACCTCATGATACCAATACAGATCTAACAGATGTTATGGAGCAAATCAACAACACATTTCCAGCTTGCTGCTGTAAGTTTAACAAAATATGTCTCTGAGAATCATATTGAATTTAAGGTCTTTTGAAAAAAAAAATCATTATTGTGGTATTGACTGGAAAAAGGAATATCTCTGAGGAGATTTCTTGTGTGTAGATATGCAAGCTACATAATTCTGTCCCTTAAAATTCCTCAATAGATACTATTTGTGAAGGTAGATAAATGTTCTTGTTTTAAGTGGAAGCAATTCACTATAAGAAAAACCTGTAGCTCAATATGGAATTTTCAGCAGTGCCCAAATATGGGGAGAGACATCTAAAATCTCACTACCTGCTGATAAAAACCTTTTGCAGAACTTAAGTGAATGTAGATTCAGAATTTCTGAATGCAGTTTATGTAATAAAGTTTGAAAAAGTCAGACAATTAGTCCTTAGACTAATTACTGAACTAGTTATTAAAGAGACCAGAGGAAATCTGTGAATGCAGCATATAACACCTTTCCCTGCTTAAATGCATTGGAAGATGATATTTTATTCAGTGTCTATTAAAGAGAGATCAAAAGGAAAACCAGCTTGTTCTTATGCATGTCCTGTATCAGCTGACATACATTTCCACTGATCCTCCTTCCAGTGTCACTGCACTTACAAAAGTGAGAAGCTGTCTCATGTATTATGGTAGGTTTTGTAAAATACATTTATACATATACATGTCTCTCTATATATATATTTCAGCTCTTTTGCCTTAGAAAAACAGTAGTGAAAACTTTGATGTATTCTCAAAACTGTTGAAAGTTTCAAATGAAATGTAATAATAATGATCAGTTTTAAAAGGCAGAAGTCAGAGAGTGGCTGTTTACGCCCAGGAAGCATCAAGACTATGCTATTTTGTAAACTCTGTGAATCTTGTTAAAATCCCCCTTTTATCTCTTGAACACACATTGCTGCATCCCAGAAGATGCACCTTGGGTGCTTTGAAAAAGCAAATTAGGTTCTAGCAAAAAATGTCTTGTTTTAGCTGTCCTTTTTAATTCTTGATGAGTTCAATAATTCAGATCCCCTTGTTCTGCAAATTAAGGAGTTGATTCTAAGGAGCATCTCATTTGAGGTCAACAGCTAGTGGAGCTGCTCAGCACACTTTGAGGGTGTGTATGTATACAAATCAGTATAAAATGCAACTCAAGCATTTGTTCTTGGTTTTGAAAGTTTCACTGTCTTGCTACGTGATTATACATGTCATTTGGCCCAAATGTCTTTAAAGCAAATTGCATTGTGTCAGGACAAGCTTGGTAATGATGGCTGTTCTCCTGGGCTGAAAAACAGAAAAAAAAAAAATCTCTGATTCCATGAACAAACACCTTCAATGAGACAGGAGAATACTGCAAGTGAAAACCATGGATCCTTCATATTGTCTAGCAGATCATTTATGTTTAAAAGAAGGCATAGTTCCAAATTTCATGTGATTTTTCCCCATTGTCAGTCTAAACCACCTTGCCCCAGTTAGTAGGTACTACTTACATTTGCTCTCATTCAGTCATTCTATGTCTTTTACTTGGGAGTAATTTTTTTTTAACTGTCAGATTCATATCTTAAATGCTTTAGAAGCCTGGAATGAGGATTATTAGTCTGGCCTTCCCAGAAAAGTGCATTAGACTCTGAATTTTTCCAGGGAAAACTGTGACAGACTATCCAAGTCCACCATCTTTTCCTGCTGCCATTTGAGAGGGATCTATCTTCCTGGGTGGACAATTGACAAATTTATTCTTTAAGACTTTAAATTATGTAGATTCCACAGACTCTCTAGGCATCACAGTATTCCTAACCTTAAAAAATTACATCCTTAGACTCTTTGTTGTACCCAGGCTCAATTTTATCAAAACTGCCTTCATGTGCAACATCCAATTATTAAAAAATAATAAAGCCAAACCAGAAAGTAAAGAAAAACTTCCTTTACAACCTCATCTTTACTTGTCTTTTCTGCCACGGTCACAGACTCTATCAAGGAGATTCTAGCATCTGAGCCTTATGCAGATAATTTTTATCCCATTTTGACTGTTTGACAGAGATGGTAGTCTTGCTTATTTGTTTTCATGGGTTTCAGGTTATAATTCATCTTGAAGTCCATCTTTCTATTTATATAAAATATCCTTTATGAAGCAATTATTCATATAGTAAAGCCAGCAATACTTACAATGGTGAATTTTGTTGTTTTGTTGGTTTTTTTGTCCTTCAGATCCACTAATCAGGGATGTAATGCCCCTTTTTTCTTCCTTATGTATGGAATTGGTCCTCAGAAGTAGGCAGATGTACAACACTGCAGAAGTCTTGTCTGTGCATCTGATGTTCAGAACAGAGCATTTTAAACAGATGATACTGTAATACATCACTCAGTGGTTTAGATATGGTTACAGATGGTGAAAATGAAACAATTCATATTAACTATATAATCATAATGCTATACATTTGTTAAAAGTAAGTTTATGAATAATTAAATCATTACAACACATTTCTAGTTAAATGTATAGTCTTTTAAAGTCTTTTTTTTTCTTCTGTAGTATGTGTTTTCCTGATAATAACTTTGTTTTTAAACTGTCAAGATGCAGAAGTATGTAAATTTATAACTTTTTTTTTTTCTATTTGCAGCAAGTTTCACTGGCAGACCACAGGTATGAGACATATTGACATACTTGCATAGGCACTGTAAACAAAGTAAAGCAAGTGAAAAGTTCTGTTAGAGCAAAGGGGCTGGGGAGGTTTTTGTCTACATTTTTCTCTAGGGATCTATTTGGGAGCTAGACTGATACAACAGGAAGGCCAGATTCCAGAATATCATAGGTAATAGAAAATTTCTATGTCAGGCACTGCCACAGGTATGATGGTTCTGCAGGTCTGTGTTGCTATCCAGATGGATCCAGCTTGCATTTATTTGAGCCAATTAATTTTAAGCCATCATCAGCTTGCAAGATCAAAGCTGGTTCTTGCAAAGATGTCCATATGTCCTTGTGCCCTAGTGCCCACAGTTCCACTTTCAGGAGCTATGGACACCAGTGCACAAGGATCAGGAGCCACACAGCTAACACCTTAGGCATTACATTAACCTGCACTGAACAGGCGACCACTGCAACAAGGACTTTAAACACTGCAGTATTGTCAGCTTAGATTTCTTTTAACTATTTGCCTCAGTTATTTGCTGAGTCTCAGGCCAACACATGAAATTTTTTTTAAATAGAGGGGTTTTGTAAGATGACGTTGCAGTCCTGAGCCCAGAGCAGGCAGAAGTTTCTGCGCGTGCTCACACGTGGTACTGATGTTGTTTCTCATGCTTGACAGGCCATGTGAGGGGTTCCTCGGGCTGTCAGCCAGTGCTCCCAGGCGTGCAGTACAGCCCTGCTCCACATCTGCCGGCCGCGCCTTCCGCCTCATCACCAACCTGCACGGGACCCGGGACACGCCGCGCGCTCCGACCGCGTGTTCCGCTTGAAACAGTACAACACTGAATACCCAAAGACGAGGATGTTGTTTTTATAGTATCTTTTTTTTTTTTTCCTTCTTCCCTTTCTATGCAACTGTAAATTAACGAGCAGTGGAATATTTGTCACTGATTTGTATAAATATACAGCCAGGGGAAAAGGGGCAGGGGGCTTTATATATGTTCTTTTTGATAATCGTAAAGAGAACTGCATAAGGAGTTTGGAGCAAAACGTTACATTTATACATTCCTTTCACCTCTTTGCTTTTGCATTGTAAAGTACCCTTAGTTACATTCTCACACATGTAATATTCTGTACCGATTATTTGTATGCTAACCATCTGACCACACAGATTTCAGAATATCCTTGCATTGTTTTCAGCATTGGCATATGAAGTTTCCATAATCTGCATTATTGTTACTGGTTAACAACAACTGTCATTAGGTGCAAGATACAGTATTTTAATTCAATTAAATAAGGTAAATGCTCATTTCAAGTCATAATTAGCATCTTCATATACCTAAGTGGTATTTTTAACTTCCTTTTTGTTATTTCCAGACAACACTCCATTCGGAGGATTATTTTTTTAAGCTTTACTTTGAATTGGGAGATAACTAAAAGAGGACTTAGATGATAGCTTAAGTTGGTTTTAGTAAGAGCTAAGTTAGTATAATCCTTCCCAGCTTTGTTCAGAGACAAAGCTTTGCTGTTCCCTGCTGGGCCAAACTTGTTTCAAGGTTTGGAATTTACAGTCTATGAAGTGAAGCTCATTTCTGTGAGATCCCTTTTTTTTGTCTGCCTCTTAGAAATTAAGAGACAATTAGAAAGCCCTTTCCAATACTATTAGCAACAGAACTTTCTCCAGAACTGCAGTGCACGTAGATATTATCATTTGGCATTATAATCTTGCAGATCATCCTTATCTTTAAAATAATTTATTTATTTTATTACTTTTGATAAGGATAATTATGAGAAAATATGTCACTGATCGTCTGATCTTTAGTTTAAAGATTATCATAAGAGATTTTAATGCCTTCACAGAGTTTACAATGCTGCATGGACACTTGCTTTAATTCTAGGACATACCTTTAATTGGTAAAATTGCATGCAATATCTTTCACGTATAGTAAAGAGAAACAAAGCTGTGTTATTCTGAATTATTATTGAAGGAAAAAAACCCTTATCTTAAAATGGTATTGAAAGAGGTGTAAAATTCTCTACTGCTACTAGAAAAATGCTAGGGAACATAAAAAGAGCAGTCAGGAATTTCTAGTGGCTTTGTGAAGTTTTGCCAGCCAGACTGTCCTGCACCCACAGTATTTACTCCTGAACTGCTGCTGCTCAAGGAGTGATCCAGGCACAGTGTTGACCACCTTCTACTGTTGGCACCAGTGCCAGTTCTTTCTGAACCCTTTGGCAAGTTATTTAACCACTCTGCCTCTGTTTTCCCATCTGTAAAATAGGGATGATAGTGCTTACCTCTCAAAGGTGATGTAGGACTTGGCATTTCTACAGAGTTTTTCAGATGCTAACCAAGTATTAGTCTTGAGCAAGTGGAGCAAAGCTATCAAGGTGAGAAGATGCTGCCTCCTGTTAAAATGTAAGCCCACATTTTACAGAAGAGGAAAACCATTACCACCTTTCTACCTCAGACCTATCTTCATAAGTAGTATTGGAAATAGCTTTACATTCTGTTCTCTGCAAAGTACTTGGCTTTTATCAAGCTACATAATTATCTAGGAAAAGAATCTTTTAAAATACTCCCAAAATTAAGTATAAAAACAAATCAGTAGTGAATTTGTTGAGTTTTATTTTTGTTCTGAATATGAGGTTATGTATAAAGTTGTTTTTCTGCTTGTGTTTGTATGCATCCTTTGTCCTCTGCTGGCAAGTAAATGCTGCTTCAAACACTACATTGTAACATTCTTCCTCTGAGATAATGATAAATAAAAGGAATATATTACAGTAACAAGAGAAAAAATATGGAGTTCTTCCAAATTTTGTGGGCTTCAAGGATGTCACATCTCATTGCTAAATGCTGAAAATTTCATTCTGAAGATTAACATGACCAAGCTGTTTCTGTGTCCTAGCTTTTTCTCTATGTGTTTTGAGTTTATATAAATGAGATTAAGCAGTAGGTTTTTTTCCTTCATAAATCTGGCATATTTTCTCTAGCTTTCCATCTTGAGTGATTTTAGTCTGTAATCTTTCTCAGCTTCATGAGATAGTAAATCTGATAGCTGAGAAGCAGACTGTTTTTTTTTTTTTTAATTTTAAATCTTCTGTATATGTATTACAGAACAGCAATAATGCCTGAAGCCGTGTCAAATAGGAGAACTGTATATTAGTCTTGAGGTTTTTTGGTGACTTTCAGTCAACATGCTCAGCTGATTCACAGCATTAGGTATTCAGTCAGAAAGTATATTTTCTACTTTGTGTTGCTTTCAGGTATTTGCACTCATGCAAGTTGTATTAATGACTGTGTTAGAATTGCTATACTTACAGGAGAAAAAAGTCCAAAGCCCTAACAATTTTGTTTCCTTATCATAACAGTTGGCACTGGTTTCATGTTTAGTTGTTGGGTTTTGTTTGGATTTTTTTTTTGACTCTAACAAATGTCAAACATAAGTGTCAATGTAGTGACCTTTTCCCTCAGTTTGTGAAAGGATGGTTAACAAGTAAGTTGTAGGAAAATACCATTTAAGTCATTCAGCAGTTAGCAAGGAATTTAACTACAAAAATAATAATAGATCAAGTCAAATTAAGTTCTGCATTTAGAACAATAAATGTGTCTTAAGATGAAGAGACTACTAGATTAAAGTGTGTATTAAACCAGACAACCTGTCATTTAAAAAAAATAAACATTTTACTTATATGTTTGTAGAGTAAGAGGCAGCATAAGAGAGACAAATGGATCAGTACCAGGGCCTGACTTTGGGGATAATTTATGAAAGTGCTCCTATCTACAAGTTGCACCCTCTGTACCTCTACTGCCAAGGTAGCAGGTGCCAGAGGTCTGTGATACTGCCACCTGTAAGGAAGGTACTCAGCTTAAAAAGTCTTCCTTCAGTGCTGTGCCACAAAGGTACTGGCCCTTGGCATGTGGAACAGAATGACACTCATTTCTCACCAGCCACAGGGATTTTCTCAAGGATGCTGGGGACAGTGTATGGCCATCTCTGGTCCTCCATGCACAATGCAATGGTGAGCACTCCCCTCTCTTCTCCACCCAGCCTTTAGCTTTAAGCACTAACCAGCCTCTTGTGCTGTTATTTTGTCAGGCCCAATAAAGCCAACCTGATACTTTTCATGAGAAGGATTATGTCTGAATCCAAAATACACATCTATGCAACATCAGGAGGGACACCCTCCTGCACAGCCAGAATGGATGGTATTGGTTGATAGCAGTTTAAATTCTCATTAGAAAACACCCTTAAGCTGTATTATTAACATGTCAGTTCATTTTCTCAGAGAAGATGTAAGATTGATGCACCTAATTAGAATCAGAGGGTAGAAGTCCTTCTGCTATTGGGGCTTCATCTTCAGAGGAACTTCCACAGTGAAACAATCATCTTTGTATGGGTGGTATTATTTCTTTTTAGACCAAGATAAGGCTCTTCACATGTTAAAAACCAAGATAGATTATGAGACACCAGCCCTGCTAGGTCAGAAATACTGGACACAGACCATCAGCACGCACATGACAATTTGTGTCACCCCCTGGTTGGGGGTTCTGTCCTCTCTTCTGTTATTTCTACAGTTGGGAAAAAAAACAACAACACAACCAACCAAGAACTAATCCCAAACAGCCCATGAAGTGGCAAAATCTAAAAACCAAACAAACCTTAGTTTAGCCAAATTAAAACTGTATTATTATAATAGGCAAGTTTTGGATGTGCGCAGTATACTAAAATATTCTTTTAAGCATTTCCAGTACAAATTACCTCTTGGGAAAGAATTTATTCATTAGATATATATTTTTTTTTGTTCTCTACTTTAACATAGAGTTTCCCTAAGAAAATCCTTCAAGAAGGCTTTTTTTTGGAGCACTGCAAAACTGTAAAATGAATCCTGTCTCCTGTCACACAGAAATGAAGATGTCATGCCATATGGCTGAGAATTCTGTTCCCACAACAACAGCAATAAAATCCGTCTTACAAATCCTGGCAAGGTGTAAATTAATAACAGTGGAGTATGAAAAAAAAAAAAAAAAACAAACCACTTTTAGGGGGGGAAAGAATATTTGAGCAGGAAGAGATCTCTTACATCTTAGAAGCAAAAAAGCTGTCAGTAGTCATCAGTTACTTTGTTTCTCAGTGTTCTTGAGGCTGGAAAAGGTGAAATCATTCTTGGCTCACATAGCTTTGGGAATGTTATCTTCTGTCTTTAATACCATTTTCATGATGTGCCAGCAAAAATTTCAGTCCTTACAACTTAAATTTATACATAAGAAAGAAAAGCTGCATGTGAGAGCAGCAGCCACCTTTAGAAGGAGTAGGTAGTGTTTTCATCAGCTGCTTTTCTAAACACCTCTGAGACACCAGGAGTGGGCTGGCTCAGCTCATTTTCCCAAGCCTCTCAGCAGTGCAGCAACTTGTGCAGCCAACACAAAGGTATCAATTAAATTTAAACCTGCTGATTAAATGTGAGAATCCAGGAGAGCTGCACAGAATTACTTGCTGTGCTAGTCTTGAGTATATTGGACAGGAGAAGAAAATTAAAAAACCTCACACATCACTTGAGCATCTATGCTTTGCTATCTGTCCTCTCCTGTGTCATCTGTGAATCTCTATTTACTATTAACTATTCATGCTTTTATTAGTCACTATCTTTATGCAGTCAGATAAACTCTGAAAATGTCTGGTTTTCTGACTGAGGTGGGTTGACCCTGACTGGATGCCTGGTGCTCACCAAAGCCTCTCTATCACTCCCTTCCTCAGCTGGACCTGGGAGAGAAAATATAAGAAAAGCTTATGAGCTGAGAAAAGGACAGGAGAGATCACGCACCTAACCCACAAATGAAGTGTACATTAATAAATAAGCAATCAGACAGAAGATACAATAGTAACTGCCACTGACAATTCACATCACTGATTTAAATGCAAACAGGAGTAAAGAATGCTCATTCTTTAAGAACGTGCCACTTACCTTCTTCCAATCCTCAGGATCTTCCTCTGTTCCCCATGGCCTTCCAAAGGTAATTAAAAACAGTCTTGCAACAATATCAGTCACTTTTCACAGTGCTCCTGCGTGTGTCCCAACATCCCATGGGCAGTTTGTTCGGTACATCCAGTTTGCTTAAGTGTTCCCTAACCTGATTCTTCTCCACTGAAGAGACATTTCCCTTGCTTCAGACTTCTGGACAGTCTTACTACTGAAGACTGAGGTGAAAATGGGATTCAGGACCTTAGGTATTCCTGTGCCCTTTTGTCACCAGAGCCTCTTCACCAGCAGGCTCATGTTTTCCTCAGCCTGCTTTTTTCTGCTGCTATCAAAGTCATTCTTTGTGCCTTTTGTATCCCATATCAGGCCTTGGCTTTCCTAACCCTATCCCTGCAGAACTGGGCAGTATGTCTGTGCTTTTCTTTATCCCCAGACAGGCTGAAGCCTGCTCTCCTGAGGCCTGGGATGCGATCCTGCTTTTTTGCTTTAATCCCATTGAAATCCTGAGCACTGTTACTTCATGGTCACTGTAGCTACAGCAACCCTTAACCTTCACATCCCTTGCCCATTCTTCCTTTGTGAATAGGAGGTCCAGCAAGATCTCTCCTCTCACCAGATTCTCAGTCATTTACCTGAAAAACTTGTCACCAGTCTACTCTAAGAAATATTCCCTCAAGAGTTAGTATAATTCTTGCATGATGTCCCAAAAAAGTCTTTTGCCAGAGAATTGCAATACGTGACTAGAGGACCTTTTAAACACAGATGCTTTGGTTGATTTTGTTTAGTACCTCTGAAAGTATTTTTGTGAGCAGTTGTGAGAAGTCTAATGAATGGCACCAACACCCAGACAAGTGAAAACACCCAGCTGTATTTCTGTCTCTCCAGTGCCAGCAGCCTCTGTGGAATGGAAAGTGTAGCTCTGACCTACTTGCTTTCAAAAGACTATAATTACAGCACTTATCAATTTTCTATGAAATACAGACACGAACAAATAGAAAACCCAAGTGGCTGAAACATGAGCAGAATAACAATGTTATTTCATCCCCTAGAACCCAGTTCCTGCAAAGATGATGCTTGCAGGCTGAAAACTAAAACCAGTGAAATGACAGCAAGCTATCAGAATAACAGTTGAGTTTAATATGAAATGTGAGCCAGACTTTATACACAAAGAAAGATATACCACAGCATTTGTCAGTCTGCTGCCTAGACTTGGAATTTCTCCTTCCCTAAAATGTCTGTTTGCTTGCTGTGACAGGAAAATTAGTGATAGCTGTAGCAGTAGAGAATTATTTTGACTTTCAAACTCATCTGATTTCTGAAAGTGCAGATAGTGCTACGTGTTTGGTGGCAAGGGGCTGAACTGTGCGCCCAAAGCTGGAGTCAGCACCCCAGCCCTGGTGTCCCCAGATAAAAGGGAATAGTCACTCCTTTTGATGTGCAGATTAGTTTTATTGGGATGCCCTCCCTTTGCTGCCAGAGTACTCTGCCTTGGGATAACACACAACCATCCATGGAGAAGGTAGTAGGTGATAGATGAGGCCGCAGACTTCCTGGTTTACTCACTTAACTCAGAGCTTGGTAGCATTTGGCAAAGAAATTCTTCTGATAGCTATTCACATTCTTGTTACTGCAGGCAGTTTGGTTCTCCTTTCCTGCAAATCACAGTACTTGTAATGCTATTTAGAAAAATGGGATTAGGAGATAAATATGTCCTAACATGCCACTTTCATTTAGTTGCTCTTGCAGAAGAATGCCTTGCTTTCCCAGGCATTGACTAATATGTGGGTTTGAGTGACTTCTTTCCTTCACATGTCCA